GGTTTTGGACGTGAATGTCTAGTGTTGTAGGGTTGTAGCCTCAAGGACCTATCCCCTAACTATTCAAGAATCTTTCTAAAATTCCACAAAACTCTACAGAGCTCCAACCTCATCTAAATGAAACAGCCAAGAATGAGGAAGTGAAAAGCCATGTAGAGATTGATAACTGCCAAAAAATATGAAAAAGCTACCACTTCTACCGACTTACATAGGTACGAGACAAAAGGAAAGAAAAAAACAAAGAAGACTATGTGGCTTGTCATACCACAGCTCCCTAATAACTAACTCCAAAGGCCCCCTTCAAAGCACGAATAAGGAATTCCAATAAATTTATCTTTACATGTTAGTAAAATATGTGCTCAAAGTAAATACATGAATAGTGTAAAAAGTCAACATGATTCAATGAAAAAATGGAGGATTTACATAATAGAACCATAAGGATGAACAAAATCTAAAATCAATAAGGTAGAAGGGTACGGTTACGAACGTCATATTAGATAGTCTGCAAAACTGAGGATTGATCTTCTCAAAAACACCGTCCAAAACAATAGATGGTTCGCCAATCTTAACATCTAAAAACCTGTAATAGATAAAACCCAAAACATTGACAAAGAAACAGCACATATTTCATTAAGATAAAACAATTAAATTAATACATGAAAGAAAAAGGATGTTTCACTTCAAAGTGGTATGGATTCAAGAAGTACACATAATAAGTACAGCTAAATAGCATAATAACATTAATAAGAGATTCAAGCGGTAGAGATAAATACTTGAGATAGATTCCACGATCAACATTGGATCGAATTTCGTTGTTAACTCGGACGATCTTCTTAATCCCAGTACTTATAAAATAATTGTAAGAATCCAAATGTTCCTTCACTAACCCTCTCATCTATACAAAATACAACACAACAATACCCAAAAATCCAATTATTAAGTATGCTCCAAAACATATAATGTAGAAATTACATGAAATAAACCCGGTAATACCCAAAAACCATAATCATTCAAACCGTTCGTCCAAAACAACGAATTAATCATAAATAAAAACCCAAATTAAAATAATTATACCTTTAAAAACTCAGGAATAAGTTGAAATTTATCAACACTTGATTTTATTGGGGCTGCCAAAGATTGCTTGTCCATCCTGAATTACACATTACACCCACCAATTACGAAACACAAAACAAAAAATTGAAAAAAAAAAAAAAATCAAAATTCTAACAGCATTAAAGGGTACACTATATAACAACTCATTAGCAACCAAAGTTTACACAATTATTAAAATAAGCTCAAAAATTTACTGAAAGAGTAAATGAACACTAAACTGACCAACTCTTAAATAAACGTTTAACACTAGAGTGTGAAATTGATATTCGATGGTTAAAAATTTTAAAAAAAATAATGAATAAATAAAAAATCATACTTGAGAAGCTGCTTCAATGGAAGAGAGAAAGCTCAGAAGCCGCTTCAATGGAAAATTCAGAGTACGCTTCAATGGGAGAGTGAGACTGAGAGAGTAGAGATACGAACGAACGTGAAAAGGCCTAATTTATTAATTAACGACGAATATTAAACCTAAAGAAAATACGAGTACATATTAATTAATGAAGAATAGACCTGCACAAATGGAGCACTAACCCGGTCCGCTTAAAATCTCAGGCTCCTTTGGTATGGCTTGTTGTGATTGTTTTTTTTTTTTTTAAAAAAAAAAAAAGTAGAAAACAGATTTAATATAATTTTTTTTTAATAAATTTGTCTTATTTTTCATTCTTTATATATGACAAATGTATGGTTTTGAAAAACAAAAAAACCAATACAAAAACTATAGTGATATAGAATGGACATATCCAACTTGAAACTATTGGTGACCCAAATATACTAAGAAAATATCATATGTAAAGTGTTACATATGCTAGATGCTATAACCTACCTTATCTCGACTAATTAAAAATAGGAGGGATTTGTGATAATTACTGTATATTTTTTTAAGTACTTGGGTCGGGACTATATTGATGATTAAATAAACTAACTTTTGTGAAAGGGTTATTACGTCAGCTGGTACGTTAAACTTAAATCTTTTTGTGAACCAAAATTTGTTTTATTTTAATTTGATTTTTGTTAAGACTATAAGATTTTATTTTTTCTGTAAGTAATGGATATTCTTACATGTACCTGAGAGGCTAACATCGTATCTATAACACTGATGTTAGTGGGGTAGATAAGGTAATAAAAAAACTATAAGGAAAGATAGTAGGATTATTATTTTGTTGAAAAGTAAAGTGGTGTGAGAGACTGTGGTAAACATTGAAGGAGTGAGAAATGATAAAGTAACAGAGAGTGGGGATCATTAGTGGGTAAAGATATATTATTAAACTAGATTAGTCTCGTGCAATGCACAATTTTGACAAATAAAATTTATTATACTTTCACAACTGCAAAGCTATTGGACTAAATTTGAATATTAATTAATATACTAAATTTTCATATTATAAAGAAAAAAAATGAAAATTACACAAATGCGTATGTTTCCGAAAATTGGAGTTTTAGTGAAATAGCTGACCAGAATTTTATCAAAAAACAAAAATATAAAACAAATTGCTTACATCACATATATTATAGGCGGGAAAATTTTCTACCACAATTTGACATGTATAAGGGATGATGTCAGTTGTTATTTTAATAATATTTATAGATTGTAAGGGATTTTCAAAAGATGAAGTGTTGCTTTAAAAAAATGGACGAAAATACCAAGTGTAGCTTTTAAAAATAATGAAGGGAGTAATGGATGGAAAATGCAGGAAAATAATTTACCTTTAAAATAAAATTGTGGAAACTTACACCTTAATCAGAGTTATCAACGCCACACTTGACCACATTGTTAAGTGATAAGACTTATAAAATCCCAACAATACTGATACGTATTGAGATGGTTATTGCTTATTTTAGATTTTTGCATACGAGTTTTTACCTTTCACTTGAAAGGGTTTTTCTTGTTTTAGGCCTTATGAGTTTATTTTGACTATTAGGATATATTTGTTAGTTTAATTCGGTTAATAAGAGATAGCTTAACTTTAAAGATCATATTTGCAAAATATTATCTTTACAAGTTATTAGGGTTAGTTTCTGTTATGCCTAAATTTTCATCACAGGTTCACTTGTTCATTGGTTGTTAGGTTACAGGTTACTGTATGATCAGCTACCCAGTTCCAGGTATTAAGCGAAGTCAAACAAAGACTTTTCCAAGGAATATTCCAAGGGTATCTTGAATTGAACAAGTCAAGGGAAGTTGCCAAGAATATCGGAACCATAAGCACCAGCGCGCCGTTAGTGGAGACTAATTCAAACTACAACGAATAAGTCTTCAAGGATAAGGGCGAGGAAGTAGGAACTACCTCAACCCATGCACTAGCCCCGGATTCCATGGAATCCGGGATAGAGCTGTTGAAGCCTTTCAAGTTAATTCTTATGCTATAAATAAGAGAATAATCATTGTACAACGGCATCACAAATATTCCAGCCTTATTACTCATAGAAATTAAGTATTCTTTAGCAATCCTAAGCATATCATCGTTATTATCAAATTGTAAACCTAAATTGTACTTGTTTCAACCTGACAACCTAGTAGATTGGTGGACTCATTGCCACCCGCAATTTTTACCCTTATTCATAGGGTTTTCTGCGTCACCATTTCGTGTCTCTTCTCCCCTTTCCCTTTTGCTCGTTCTTTGCATTCCTTTTATCTTTATTCCTTGAACCTGCATTGTCATTGGCATTCTGATCAATCTAGTTGTTGTCCCATTGAGCCTGGTCTTATCTGGCAGTCATATTTTGACCTAAACAGTTTGGCGCCGTCTATGGGGACACAGTTAGATCATCCCAGTCGTTTCATTTGACTTGTCATTCATCATGGTTGAGACTCCCAGTCAAGATCCTACTATGGCCGAAATTGCCGAGCAGTTGCAAGAAACCCGAGAAGAGTTAAGAGCTGCCTGTGAGCAGAATCTGAAGCTCCAGTGCGAATCTCAATCTCATCAGGCATCCTTGGAGAAGTTGAACAAGAAGCTTGAATTCGTCAAGAGCAACAAAAAAAGAAGGTTCAAAACTAGTGATATTCCCCAGTTCTTCCTGATATCATCTGATGAATCTGAAGGGGAGGAAGATGATCCCAAAAAGAATGATAAGGAGTTTGATGAAAACCCTGACCCCATGGGAAAAAAGGTGGCTATTATTGAAGCCCAAAATCAGAAAATGATGAAGCTCTTGACCCTGCTACTTGGGTCGCCAAAACCTGTGGCCTATGGATCTCATGACGGGTTTGCTGAATCTCCCTTCGTGGAAGAAATTGCCAAAGTCAGAATTCCCACGAAGTTAAATATCCCATCCTTCTCTAAGTTGTACGATGGAACCACTGACCCTCAAGATCATGTGGCCTAGTACAAGCAGAAAATGTGGCAGCTTTCAATTCCGTGGGAGCTTATTAAACCCACCATGTGGAAGTCCTTCAGCGCTACTTTATCAGGACCTGGGCCAATGGCTGATCAACCTGAAGCCTAGATATCAACAGCTTCTCTAGTCTGGTGGACAAGTTCTATCAGCAGTTCGCTACCAGCAGAGAGTTGGAAAAGCAGAGCAGTGACTTGTACCGAGTCGTCCAGAAGTAGAATGAGACGACCAAGCAATATTGGGACAAGTTCAATATAGAGATGGTCAACATCAAGAACTGTGATCATTCAACTGCCATAGAAGCCTTCCGCAAAGGTCTCAATTATCGCTCCAGGTTATATTATGAGTTGACCAGATATCCTTGTGCCTTTTTTGAAGACATCAGAACCAGGGCAATGGCCGAAGTCCGTGTAGAAGAGGACGAGCAAGCAAGAAACCTGGTTGAGAAAAGGCCAGTTGGGTATTCCGGAAATCAATATTCTAGACCTTAGCAGAGCAACTGGCATGATACTCCGAGGTGCAGCAATGTACGCAGTGTGTTAGATTCGAGAATGGGTGAAGGCTCTAGCAGGCCGGAACCAGAAGATCATCCTGACATCAATTCGTACAGTTTCGATACCTATATAGTCGGAGTCATCAACGCTCTGAAAGAAATTGGGCAACCTGTGAGGTGGCCTAGAAAGAGCGGTAAGTCAGACCACCAAAAAGATAAATCTAGGTGGTGTGAGTATCATGGAGATCATGGGCATAGGACCGATGAATTTAACGGTCTAAAAAGAGAGGTAGCTTGGTTGCTTAAAAAGGGTTACCTGAAAGATCTCCTAGGCAAGAAAAGAAAAGGGCCTGAAGTCAAAAAAGAAGCCTTGCCAGGTCCGCCAGCTTCACCTCCGCCCAGCGTCGTGATCAGCGCTATATCAGGAGGATCTAGCATAAGCGAATTGACCTTTTCTCATGCGAAGAAGATAGCAAGGGTCGGCACATCAGCTTCTAGCATCCCTCAAACCTATCCTAGCAGAGAAGAGAAATCGTTAGATGAGATGAAGATAGTGTTTGGTGAAAGCAGATTCAATGAGCCAGAGCATCATGATTGTCTGGTTATTTCCCTCCATGTTGGTCATTGCAAGATGATCAAAGGGTGTTGGTAGATAATAGAAGCTCGGCTAATGAAAGCTTGACTAATATAATATTTAGAGATGCCTTGAATCAAGTCGGGTTCAGAGAGTCAGATATCATCAAGAGGTCTACGGTCCTCGTCAGGTTCAATGGTGAAGCCAGGAATACCTTGGGAGAAATCCAGCTGCTAACCTTGCTGAAGGGCGTCAATATGATGCATAAGTTCTATGTGATAGATTGCAAGATCGCTTATAATGTGATAGTGAGAACCTCGTGGATCCATAAAATGAAGGCTATCCCGTCGACCTACCATCAGCTGCTGAAATTTCCAAGTTCGTGGGGAGTAGCAATAGTCGAAGGAGATAGAAAACAAGCTAGAGAATGCTACCAGATCTCCATAAAGCCCCATGGGCCCTCAATCTAGCAATTACAGCAAAATCCAGCACCAGGACGCCCAGACGAGCTGCAGTTAGATGAAGTGGTGCTAGATGAATCTAAGCTAGATCAAATAGTCAAGATCGGAGCAGCATTACCTGCAGACCAAAAAGAAGCCATCATAAAGTGCTTGAAGAAGAATTCAGATTGTTTTGCTTGGTCTCATCGAGATATGAAAGGAATCAGTTTAGAGTCATTACTCACAAGTTCAATGTAGATCCCAGCATGAAGCCGGTGAAGCAAAAAAGAAGGAAATTTGCACCAGAGCGCAACCAGATTATGAATGAAGAAGTGCAGAAGCTGCTAGATACCGTAAAGATAAGGAAAGTCATGAATCCAGAGTGGCTAGCTAATGTGGTCGTCGTCAGCAAGAAGAAAGGAACCTGAAGAGTCTGCATCGACTTCGTAGATCTAAACAAAGCATTCCCCAAGGACCCGTTCCCCTTGCCTTATATAGATTCAATGATAAATGCTACAGCCGGGCACGAGCTACTTACATTCATGGGCGCGTATTCAGGTTATAATCAGATCCTAATGCACCCGGATGATCAAGAGAAGACCGCCTTCATGACAGATAAAGGAATCTACTGCTACAAGGTGATGCCATTCGGATTGAAGAATGTTGGTTCTACCTATCAAAGGCTAGTCAAAAAGATGTTCAAAGACCAGCTGGGGGACACCATGGAAGTCTACATCGACGATATGTTGGTGAAATCAAAGAAAGCAACTGACCATGTAGGCCACCTAAACGAGGCTTTTGGCATGCTGAGGAAATATGAGATGAAGCTGAATCCATTCAAGTGCTCATTCAGAGTATCTGCAGGTAAGTTCCTGGGCTATGTAGTTACTCAACGAGGAATCGAGGCTAGCCCAGGTAAGGTACGTGCCATTAATAATCTTCAATCACCTAGAGATCTTAAAGAAGTTCAGAAATTGACAGGTAGGGTAGCTGCATTAAATAAATTCATCTCGAGGTCATCAGATAAATGTCATTTGTTTTACAATGTTTTACAGAAAAATAAAGGTTTTGATTGGACTAATGACCACGAAAAGGCCCTACAGGACCTAAAACTCTATATAATGTCGCCCCTTTTATTATCTAAACCTGCTGAAGGAGAATCTTTGCAGCTTTACCTAGCTGTTAGCACACAAGCTGTGAATGCTGTATTGGCAAGGGAAGTTGAAAGTTTGATGTTACCTGTCTATTATGTTAGCAAAACTCTCCTTAGTGCTGAAACCAGATACTCATCACTTGAAAAGCTAGTATTAGCACTAATAGTAGCTTGCAAGAAACTACGTCATTACTTTGAAACTCACCCAATAGTGGTGAAAACTAACTATCCTATCAAGGCTGTGCTATGCAGACCAGAATTGACAGGTTGAATGAGCAAATGGGCGATTGAACTAAGTGGATTCGACATGAAGTATGAACCAAGAACAACTATAAATTCTCAATCTCTAGCCAACTTTGTGGCTGACTTCAACCCTGATCTAGAGCAGCAAGCAGCTCAAAAGGTGAAGCAAATCACTCAAATCGCAAACGCATGAACTTAGACCTTGTACGTCGATGGATCATCCAATTTTCGAGGTGCAGGTCTAGGCGTAGTGCTGAAGTCGCCACAAGGGGACATGATGGTATAATTTATCTGTTGTAATTTCAAAGCTACTAACAATGAAGCAAAATATGAGGCTTTGATTGTAGGAATGAATCTAGCGAAAGATGTAGGAGCACCCAAATTGCAGGTGTTTTGTGACTCTCTTTTGGTAGCAAGTCAAATGAACGGTGAATTCGCAGCTAAAGATTCCAAGATGATCTTATACCTAGACTTCGCTAAATCTTTAGCAACCAAGTTCACTACCTTTTCCATTAATCAAAAACCTAGAGACCGGAACACACAAGAAGATGCCCTACCCAACCTAGGATCAGCTTTAAGAAAATCCAAGTTCTCATCCATTCCCCTAATCCACCTACTAGCACCTACCATCAACACAGATAACCAAACATCAAAACCCATAAACCCTAATTCCGCCAAGCTTGAACCCTATAGTTCAAAGGTCTCTGAACCTGCTCCATTCAAACCTGTCAAAGATGAACCTATCGAACCAAACATTGTCGCACCTGTAGCAAATCAAACCAGCTGGATCCAACCTATCTTTAATTACCTAGAGCACGACACCCTACCTGAAAATAAAGATGTAGCAAGAGCACTCAAATTCAAAGCATCCAAGTACATGATCATCTAAGGTGTTCTATTTGAAAAGTCAACCAGAGTCGTCTTACAACGCTGCATTGAAGAAGATAGATACGAACAGATACTTAAGGACTTTCACGATGGAGAATGTGGAGCTCATTCAGGTGGGAGAACCTAGCTAACAGGATATTAACCTATGGCTACTACTGGCTAATGTTGCGTAATGATGCACACAGGTATGTAAGTAAATGTGACAGCTGCTAGCGTCACTCAGATGTCATTCACAAACCCTCTGAACCTTTGCATCCCACTTTGACACCATGACCTTTCATGAGATGGGGCATGGACATAGTCGGCAAGCTGCCTCCTACCCTAGGTCAAAAGGTCTATATGTTGGTTATAATAAATTACTTTTCTAAGTGGATAGAAGCAGATGCATTCTAGCAAGTGAAAGACAAAGAAGTTATCAACTTCATCTGGACTAACATAATCTGCAAATTCGACGTGCCATCTGAAATTGTCTGTGATAACGGATCCCAGTTCATAAGTGCCCCAACCATACATTTCTGTGATAAATGGAACATCACTCTCGTTACCTCAACGCCCAGGTACCCACAAGCAAATGGACAAGCCGAATCCAACAACAAAGTAATCATCGGTTCTTTGAAGAAGAAGCTAAAAACAAAAAAGGGCAAGTGTGTTGGAATAAAGGAAGGAAATGCAAAGTTGACCGTAGCCATAAGCCCGATCGGGCACGTGTGATGCTCACTCTTGCGTGGCTACGTATTTGATGCTTCTTTGTTTCCTCTTCTTACCTTGGAATCTTCATTTTGTAGCCTTGAAAACACCTTATTTTACAACAATTTGAAAACGAAATTATATATTTTCATTGGCTACACATTGGGTATTGGTCAAAAGATTGGATGATGTGAAGAAAAATAATTTTTTGGGAAAAAAAATATTGTTCACGTTTTAATGGGAGCAGTCCCAAAGATGGCCCCCGATCGAAGGTCATTTGCTGTCGGATTTGGCTGAAATTTTGGTAGCTTGTTCGGGACATATGAGGCTTCATTTCCAACGGTTGGATCATTGATAGCTGCTCACGTTTTGGATTTCTGGGGATATCTATAAGCTGCATATTTTGTGAGGATGTTTGGGCATATCATGCGAATGTTCTCTCACTTAACTTGATGTAATCCAAGGGAGGTTCATTCTAAACTAAGTCTTTTATTGATTATGTTAGCATGTGGTTGAATCTCTAATAATATTATTGGAAATTATATGAATAGTGATTTTAACAAATGAATGTTAAATATTAATTTTTGTCAAACATGTTTATTTGCTAATGTGAATATTAGCATAAAGGCTTATGTATAATCCATGTTATATAAGTGTGTGATATTACATGACATGATTATTTCTATTTCTTTGTTCAATACTTGTGGTTTGAACTTAGTACTTAGAAATATGTTAATTGGTTTCATTTACCAATTTGTTGGATTTTGTTAACATATGAATTCTTTTGTGCTTTGAGAAGGTAAATGCTAGGCGCGCTATTACATTTTAGAATAACATATGTTTGAAAGATGTTTTGTTCCTAATGTTTACATGCACATGTTGGTAGATGATTCATGATTAATTATGACTTATCAAAGTCTATGTCTTCTATGTTTTACCGTGAATTTTGTATTAAGTATGTTTTCAAAGTCTACTATTTCTAATATGTTGAAATATATGTGTTCGTGAAAACTTTGTTCATGCTCAAATGTTTACATATTTCCATATGTCTTGAACTTGAGTAAGTTTTATCAAACTTTAGGTTTGGAAGTTCTTGAATGGGAATTGTTTGATTCTTTTTTGAAGAGTTATATATGTATTTTTCTTCATAGGAGAATATTTTTGCTATAGTTATTACATCTTGCATTGTAACCTCCTCTTAACTCCCATTTAATGGGTTGTTTAAGGACCTTAATTTCTGATTAATGTTTCATCTTTTGAGCTTTCTTATCTCTTCACTTACCTTGTTGATTATTATATAATCTCTTGGTGAGAATAATCAGAAATATACTCATGCTACATAAACAAGATTACATCCAAACACATTAAGCTAAACACATTCCTCTCTTTGGGCATAAGTTTATATGACTCCAACCTCTCATCCAAAAGTGTCTTTGTATGAGAGTGGTGTGTTAACCTTAGGGAACGTGCCGGTGAATACAATTAAGCACCATAATTGCGCCGGAATTCTGTTTTCAAGTTAGTGATTTACATCACGACACACCATATTTGTTCCATTGATTATAATAAGATCAACTTTTCGATCTTATTGTTCTCTTATTTTTGTAGCCTTGAAAACACCTTATTTTACAACAAAGTGGGCTGAAGAATTGCCAAGGATCCTATGG